AGTCTTGTCGATACTGCACTTCTGAGAAGATCTGTGAACTCCAGGGCACTGTCTTTTTGATTCAATGTGGAGGATGTGGAGAAAAGTACGTGGGGGAGACCGCGAGACCGCTGAAGATTCGTCTGGATGAACATAGAAGAGCGTTGGCCAATCCCGCTGCCTATCCACACAGCAGTTTTTCCAGGCACCGTACACTTAGGCATGAGAAAGAAAACGCTCCATCCTTCGATGTGAGGGTTTTGCACAGATATTTGGTACGGTCACTGGAAAGGAAAATCATGGAGGCACGGGAAATATACCGCATCAAGCCGGAAATCAATGCGAAAGAGGAGTTGCATGACCTACTGAGACTGATTCCGTGATAACACTTAGTCACCTCAGAACAAGAGCGGCGTCCATTTTTCCTTCAAGATCCCCGCCGACAGGTCTATTCCCCCTTTCCCCCAATATTTCCGGTTGACTTGGTATGATTCGATGTGTTTTGTATTGTAACTGATAGTAACTGATTGTATGCAGCAATATATTGTAAATAATTAAGGTCTGACGAAGGCATTATATGCCGAAAGCTCACCAATAAAAGTGAAGAGCGTAGAGCTTCGAAAAGTACACAAAACGTTAGGAAGTCCAAATGAAGCTCAGAGATAGCAGTATTTTAAAAATTTTTTTATGAGTGTTCAATAAGCTTGAGCCCCCCCCCCCTCCTTAAATCTTAAGCTGCAATGCCTTATCACAGACCACATGTGAGAACTGGTTTACAATCTTTCGTTCTGCCAATTTTTCACTTTAAGTTGGTCTGTAATTATACGAGATTCTGAGAAAACGGACCCATCCATGGGAATAGTTTACCAGAGCATCAAAAAACCTGGGTTAACAAGAAAGATAGTTATTCGGGTGCCACATGAGTTGGAGGAAATTCAGGATGCCGCGAGTCAGAATCTGCGAATTGTGCTTGGAACGCGATGAACAAGAACTATTTTCGCCCAAAGTCGAAATGTTTACAGTAGCGTTTCTATCAAACAGTCATCATCAATACCTGATGAATGTTCGAACGAAGTCCAAAGCTGATCTTCATCAAAAGGTCACGCTACCAATTTGCGAGGATCCGTTATAGCTTAAAAATTTTTCGAGGAATCAGAATGTCAGCCTGGACCTCTACTTTCAAGAGTTCGATTGAGCAAATGAAAAAGCTGTACAGGTATAGCGAGTCGCATACTAGTGTTGCATAGGGCTAGACAAGACTGTTTGCATTTTTGGTGTCTCGGCAAAAATTATTGAATTGAAGCCTGTTTGGAAATTAGTCCTGCATCGACCATATAGAAAACAACCAAACAAGGTTGGATGTATAAATATATTTATATTGATAAAGGTTCGTTCTTCGAGAAAAGAATTTCAAACGCTCAGAAATCGCAGTTGCTTTTCGAGCATCACACTAGGAAAGTAAGGCAGCAGTAGTGGTGTAAAAAAATATGGTGCGGCCGCAAGAAACTAAGAGAGGAAAGAGCAGTTCAGAAAACAACACAAAAAGGCATAAGGAATTTGGACACAAAGTTAAGAGGTTCGAATAGATTCGTCATGAATTTCCAAATTTCTACGTTGACAGTCGAACCACACTTCTTAGAACACTGTTTTCAGCTTGCTGCACGATGGCAAAGTGGGCTGCCTTTAATCTATTCAGATTTACGTTTTCTCTAATGCAAAAGATTCGAGTTCCAAGAATGGATGGTTCATGTATCATATCTATAAATGCAGCTTTCTTAGCTACATAACTCCAGTAACGGGTATTACTATCAATATTTTTTACAACCTTTCTTCTTACTGTGCTCCTATTTACCATCTATCATCATTGTCCTAGTTTTGATGCATTCGTTCACGTGTTTCGTTTGATTTGAAATTTTGTATAGAGTCGTCTTGACTTTGCTTTGCCTTCTTCCGTGTCTTCTTACGTCTCTTTTCTCACACGTGCCGGCCTTGATTATGCTTGTGGAATGAATATTTACTTTCCATATTTTGACGTTGTCTATCAAGAAGGAGGCGGCAGTCTAAAATATTTGCCAACGAAATGTCCATAGTCGCTTATCAACCGGAAGCCGTAATAAGGTGGTTAACCAAGGTAACACTGGCTACGGTTTTCGTAAGTTCCGTAATTGTTGGTAAGTTCTCAACTGCCTCTTTAATTAGTACATAGCTCCTTTCATGTCCTTTTCAGAAACTGAGGGAAGAAGTTTGCAAGAAGTTGTGTGTGATTTGAATCCAACACACTGTAACTCAATTAAAGCAAGTTCGGGGGTGCGAAGGACCAGCAGGTGACTGACATAAGCGTTTGATATTATTCCATATTTAGAGTACTGCGCTGCTCTATTCTGGTTTGGTTTTAGTTTAATTCTTGTTCTGACTGCATCTGTATAGAAATCCACATCATTTTTTATCTTGAGCTTTAAGAAGATTGCTATCAAGAGAACGTAACCTTGCGGCCCCAAGTGCAAGCGAACTTGCCAGATGGCACAATTATGAAAGAGAAGCAGCAGGTACTGGACTCATTTCTGATGCTGGGCCAGGCTGGGGACCAGGTAAATGACTCACTGTTCATTTTACAGGAGAAAGCCTTCAAGATGAGATGTATACTGCCGTAGGTGGTTTCGAACCGCTTCGCCGAACAGATAACCGATCCGAGCAAATAGGTCGCTGTACAGCGCCGATGCAACTGGTAGAGCGATGGACCTGCGGGCGCGGCATAGTGTTTTGGAACCATGATACATGCGCTCTTTTTATTTTTCCATGAAATGCGTCCTAAACGCCCCCAAAGCGTTTTTACGCTTAAAACTGGCTAGCTACGAAGCACACTCATATTTTATTAGGTTGTAACATGAGTTCGTAGAGTTTTTTCACAAAAGTTTATTTGAAAAAATAGTAATAAATATAATAAAGAATTATTTAACTAATTATTATAATAATCAGCCAATTCACGAGTTGTTTGGCTACCATCTTCCTCCAATATTGCCTCAGATGCTCTTCGTCGAATTCTGCAGCTCGTCCGCTTCGAGGCGTTCCTTCGAGGGCAAAGTCGCCATTTTTAAACTTTGCAAATGATTTTTATGCAGTAGACACTTTCCCCGTACACACCGCATTGTCCGGAGCGGCTTCGGCTGCCTCGATGAAAAGCAAAAAAAAAGCAGATGTC